TCCACCCCCAGCCGTCTGAATCTGATGACAGTCTGAACTCAAATTGCATCCGCGAATGTACCACCGTATTGACCACAATCACTCTGGTACTCCCTGTCTCATTTTAACCACTCCTTGTGCTCCCCCTCCCCCCTTCCCTTACCCTTTTTTTTTTCTTTTTTCTTCTCTCCTCTTGTCATTGCTTCCCTCTCATCTTATCATTCTTTCTTTTCTTCTCGCCTTCTTCTGATAAATTTCCATAAGTTTTTATCAATCGTCCAGAAGACAGTTAGGCATGCTAACATCACTTCCCTTTCTTTATTAGCAGTTTCCTTGATCATACACTCCCACATCCCCACTCGGATACCTCCAATGTATTAAATCTATAGCATTAACTTCGGCCTTGACTTCGTTTATGTTCTCCTTCCCTCTATGGTTCAGCACTCAGTGACGTCACCATAGGAGGTCCGGTGCCTCATTGTCTAATTCGTTTTATAAGCGTCTTTGTGTATTACAGGCACAACCCTGTCCTGGCATAGTTCCTCCACACTGTTTAGTTGTGCAGTGGACTTCATTTACTTTTTGTTTGATATGTGTATTGCCCAATTTCTTATTCACACCTCACGTGCTTATTTTATTGTGTCAATTTGTACATTGCTATATTTCAATAAATGTGTCTATAAATTAGTGAAGCGCTATAAATAATATATATAACATAGTGCCATTAATAACTCATAGTGCTGTATAAAAATATACTATACATTCACAAAAGTATAAATAAGTGATAAACAGTGTAATAAGTGATAAATATATATCCAAATAATTCATAAATCCAATCGGTAAACTGATAATTGTGATTCACACACATAAATCGTCAACGTGCAAATAAAAATACAAGTCCATGCAGGTGTAACTTGTGAAAACAAGAAGAGTGATCTTCACTTCTGGTGCTCAAAAATCCTCAAATGGCAGCAATGCCTGTTCACCTCCCCACACTGACCCACACAGGGCCAAAGGGCTATTAATCTCCTCTATGGCCAATCCTTTATTGCAGGTAGCTCATCAAGGGATCACAGGACTTCCACTCCACCTCCACTCAATCGTTATATAGGACACAAAAAGAACTTCCCATAGTGTAATATTGTATAATAATCGGATTTAAAACATAGTAATTACACTCACATTTGTCTCCTTGTCACAAATAGCTGTTTCACCTCATCCCATAGGTGTGTAATAGAGATGAGCGAATCGAACATGGCGAAGTGGAATTCGTTTTGAATATTGGGAAATATTCGATTCGCGCCGAATCCGAAAATTAGCCAACTTCGGATGCACGAATCGAATTTTCCCAAAAATGGCGGCGACATGTGTGGCGACGGAGCGGGGATCTCTGGGAAGGCGCGCAGACAAGGCGCGCTGACCCATAATGCATTCATTCATGTCATGTGATCGCATTAGCCAATCAGCAGCCAGCCAGCCAGCACTGTGTAATGGTGGAGCTATAAATTGCTGCCATCTTACAATTCTCCATTAGCCTGCGGTCATTCAAGAGAGACAGACCTGTCTGTATTAGGGACAGAGTTAGGGCCAGAGAGACTTTAGGGCCACAGAATCGTTACTTAGGGAAACAGAATCGTTACTTAGGGACACAGAATCGTTACTCAGGGACACAGAATTGTTAATCAGGGACACAGAATTGTTACTCAGGGACAGACACAGAATTGTTACTGAGGGACACAGAATTGTTACTGAGGGACACAGAATTGTTACTCAGGGACACAGAATTGTTACTCAGGGACACAGAATTGTTACTCAGGGACAGACACAGAATTGTTACTGAGGGACACAGAATTGTTACTGAGGGACACAGAATTGTTACTGAGGGACAAAGAATTGTTACTCAGGGACACAGAATTGTTACTCAGGGACACAGAATTGTTATTCAGGGACACAGAATTGTTACTCAGGGACAGACACAGAATTGTTACTGAGGGACACAGAATTGTTACCGAGGGACACAGAATTGTTACTGAGGGACACAGAATTGTTACTCAGGGACACAGAATTGTTACTCAGGGACACAGAATTGTTACTCAGGGACAGACACAGAATTGTTACTGAGGGACACAGAATTGTTACTGAGGGACACAGAATTGTTACTCAGGGACACAGAATTGTTACTCAGGGACAGACACAGAATTGTTACTGAGGGACACAGAATTGTTACTGAGGGACACAGAATTGTTACTCAGGGACAGACACAGAATTGTTACTGAGGGACACAGAATTGTTACTGAGGGACACAGAATTGTTACTGAGGGACACAGAATTGTTACTCAGGGACACAGAATTGTTACTCAGGGACAGACACAGAATTGTTACTGAGGGACACAGAATTGTTACTGAGGGACACAGAATTGTTACTCAGGGACACAGAATTGTTACTCAGGGACAGACACAGAATTGTTACTGAGGGACACAGAATTGTTACTCAGGGACACAGAATTGTTACTCAGGGACACAGAATTGTTACTCAGGGACAGACACAGAATTGTTACTGAGGGACGCAGAATTGTTACTGAGGGACACAGAATTGTTACTGAGGGACACAGAATTGTTACTCAGGGACACAGAATTGTTACTCAGGGACACAGAATTGTTACTCAGGGACAGACACAGAATTGTTACTGAGGGACACAGAATTGTTACAGAGGGACACAGAATTCTTACTCAGGGACACAGAATTGTTACTCAGGGACACAGAATTGTTACTCAGGGACAGACACAGAATTGTTACTGAGGGACACAGAATTGTTACTGAGGGACACAGAATTGTTACTCAGGGACAGACACAGAATTGTTACTGAGGGACACAGAATTGTTACTGAGGGACACAGAATTGTTACTCAGGGACACAGAATTGTTACTCAGGGACACAGAATTGTTACTCAGGGACAGACACAGAATTGTTACTGAGGGACACAGAATTGTTACTGAGGGACACAGAATTGTTACTGAGGGACACAGAATTGTTACTCAGGGACACAGAATTGTTACTCAGGGACAGACACAGAATTGTTACTGAGGGACACAGAATTGTTACTCAGGGACACAGAATTGTTACTCAGGGACACAGAATTGTTACTCAGGGACAGACACAGAATTGTTACTGAGGGACGCAGAATTGTTACTGAGGGACACAGAATTGTTACTGAGGGACACAGAATTTGTTACTCAGGGACACAGAATTGTTACTCAGGGACAGACACAGAATTGTTACTGAGGGACACAGAATTGTTACTGAGGGACACAGAATTGTTACTCAGGGACACAGAATTGTTACTCAGGGACAGACACAGAATTGTTACTGAGGGACACAGAATTGTTACTGAGGGACACAGAATTGTTACTCAGGGACAGACACAGAATTGTTACTGAGGGACACAGAATTGTTACTGAGGGACACAGAATTGTTACTCAGGGACACAGAATTGTTACTCAGGACAGACACAGAATTGTTACTGAGGACAGACACAGAATTGTTACTGAGGGACACAGAATTGTTACTGAGGGACACAGAATTGTTACTGAGGGACACATAATTGTTACTCAGGGACACAGAATTGTTACTCAGGGACAGACACAGAATTGTTACTGAGGGACACAGAATTGTTACTCAGGGACACAGAATTGTTACTCAAGGACACAGAATTGTTACTCAGGGACAGACACAGAATTGTTACTGAGGGACACAGAATTGTTACTCAGGGACACAGAATTGTTACTCAGGGACAGACACAGAATTGTTACTGAGGGACACAGAATTGTTACTGAGGGACACAGAATTGTTACTGAGGGACACAGAATTGTTACTCAGGGACACAGAATTGTTACTGAGGGACACAGAATTGTTACTCAGGGACACAGAATTGTTACTCAGGGACACAGAATCGTTACTGAGGACAGACACAGAATTGTTACTGAGGGACACAGAATTGTTACTGAGGGACACAGAATTGTTACTCAGGGACACAGAATTGTTACTGAGGGACAGACACAGAATTGTTACTCAGGGACAGACACAGAATTGTTACTGAGGGACACAGAATTGTTACTGAGAGACACAGAATTGTTACTCAGGGACACAGAATTGTTACTCAGGGACACAGAATTGTTACTCAGGGACAGACAAAGAATTGTTTACTCAGGGACACAAAATTGTTACTGAGGGACACAGAATTGTTACTCAGGGACACAGAATTTGTTACTGAGGGACACAGAAATTGTTACTCAGGGACACAGAATTGTTACTCAGGGACACAGAATTGTTATTCAGGGACAGACACAGAATTGTTACTGAGGGACACAGAATTGTTACTGAGGGACACAGAATTGTTACTCAGGGACACAGAATTGTTACTCAGGGACAGACACATAATTGTTACTCAGGGACACAGAATTGTTTACTCAGGGACACAGAATTGTTACTCAGGGACAGACACAGAATTGTTACTGAGGGACACAGAATTGTTACTCAGGGACACAGAATTGTTACTGAGGGACACAGAATCGTTACTGAGGGACACAGAATTGTTACTGAGGGACACAGAATTGTTACTCAGGGACACAGAATTGTTACTCAGGGACACAGAATTGTTACTCAGGGACAGACAAAGAATTGTTACTCAGGGACACAGAATTGTTACTGAGGGACACAGAATTGTTACTCAGGGACACAGAATTGTTACTGAGGGACACAGAATTGTTACTCAGGGACACAGAATTGTTACTCAGGGACACAGAATTGTTATTCAGGACAGACACAGAATTGTTACTGAGGGACACAGAATTGTTTACTGAGGGACACAGAATTGTTACTCAGGGACACAGAATTGTTACTCAGGGACAGACACATAATTGTCACTTTCAGGTCTCCTCACACTGCTGGTGGGTTCCATTTGTCATAGGGTGCTGGCAGATTACGGGCCTCCCATTGCTGCTGCCAGGCCCGTAATCTGCCATGGGCCCCCGTAAAGACTCCTCATGCTGCTGCCAGGCCCGTAATCTGTCATGGGCCCCTGTACCGCCTCCTCATGCTGCTGCCAGGTCCAGAGTGTGTCATGGGTCCCTGTACGGCCTCCCATTGCTGCTGTCTCCATCGCCACACTCTGCCATGTGCCACTTTCAGGTCTCCTCACACTGCTGGTGGGTTCCATTTTGTCATAGGGTGCTGGCAGATTACGGGCCTCCCATTGCTGCTGCCAGGCCGTAATCTGCCATGGGCCCCCGTACCGACTCCTCATGCTGCTGCCAGGCCCGTAATCTGTCATGGGCCCCTGTACCGCCTCCTCATGCTGCTGCCAGGTCCAGAGTGTGTCATGGGTCCCTGTACGGCCTCCCATTGCTGCTGTCTCCATCGCCACACTCTGCCATGTGCCACTTTCAGGTCTCCTCACACTGCTGGTGGGTTCCATTTTGTCATAGGGTGCTGGCAGATTACGGGCCTCCCATTGCTGCTGCCAGGCCCGTAATCTGCCATGGGCCCCCGTACCGACTCCTCATGCTGCTGCCAGGCCCGTAATCTGTCATGGGCCCCTGTACCGCCTCCTCATGCTGCTGCCATGTCCAGAGTGTGTCATGGGTCCCTGTACGGCCTCCCATTGCTGCTGCCAGGCCCGTAATCTGCCATGGGCCCCCGTACCGACTCCTCATGCTGCTGCCAGGCCCGTAATCTGTCATGGGCCCCTGTACCGCCTCCTCATGCTGCTGCCAGGTCCAGAGTGTGTCATGGGTCCCTGTACGGCCTCCCATTGCTGCTGTCTCCATCGCCACACTCTGCCATGTGCCACTTTCAGGTCTCCTCACACTGCTGGTGGGTTCCATTTTGTCATAGGGTGCTGTATGGCCTCCCATTGCTGCTGCCAGGCCCGTAATCTGCCATGGGCCCCCGTACCGACTCCTCATGCTGCTGCCAGGCCCGTAATCTGTCATGGGCCCCTGTACCGCCTCCTCATGCTGCTGCCAGGTCCAGAGTGTGTCATGGGTCCCTGTACGGCCTCCCATTGCTGCTGTCTCCATCTCCACACTCTGCCATGTGCCACTTTCAGGTCTCCTCACACTGCTGGTGGGTTCCATTTTTTCATAGGGTGCTGTATGGCCTCCCATTGCTGCTGCCTCCACCACCACACTGTGGCTCCACACTCTGGTTTTGGCCCCGTGACTGCCCAAATGAGTGAAGTGTGCGGTGATTCTAAGATCGACGGCACTCATCTGCATGTCATACTGACTGACAGTATTATTTCTCTTCCCCAGCAGACTCCAAGGGCATTTAAATTAAAGGTACAGTGTTCTGCACTAATATAAAGGCTCTCTGAAGCCTAGAAACACCCTTTTTATAAGTTATATTCGCAGCATCTCTTAATAATTCGCTCATCTCTAGTGTGTAACATGAAGTAAGGGAAACCAATATGGCCACTGCGTCCGGACATGCGTCCCCACGTGACCAGAAGTGACGTAACTCGAAACCTTTTTTTTGGGAAAAAAAAAAAACATTGACTTATAAAGCTGTTCATAATACTGTCCTAAACTACATCACCCATCTGGTATCCAAATACCACCCAAAACGTACTCTCCGCTCCTCACAAGACCTCCTACTCTCTATTTCTCTGGTTTCCTCCTCCCAAGTCTCCAGGACTTCTCCAGGGCTTCCCCCATTCTCTGGAACTCCCTACCACAATCCATCAGACTGTCACCTACTATCCTCACCTTTAGGCGCACTCTGAAAACCTATCTCTTTAGGGAAGCCTACCCGGTCCTTAGCTAATTACTGAACTCCTCCACTCTTCCTATCACTCCATCCTGCACAGCTACTTCCTCCTGTACCACTATCCGCTCCATCCTAGATTGTAAGCTCAAAGGAGCAGGGCCCTCGAACCCCTCGTGTATTGAATAGTATTGTTATTGTACTGTCTTGTGCACTGTCTCCCTTTATAATGTACAGCGCTGAGCAAACTGTTGGTGCTACAGTTGCAAGAAAAAGTATGTGAACCCCTTGGGATTACGTGGAGTTTTGCATGAATTGGGCATAAAATGTGCTCTGAACGTCATCTAAGTCACAACAATAGAAGAACACACTCTGCTGAACATAATACTACACAAACATTAGATGTTGCCATGGTTTAATTGCACATAACATGTAAACATTCACAGTGCAGGGAGGAAAATGTATGTGAACCTTTCGACTTAATAACCGGTTGACCCTCCTTTGGCAGCAATAACCTCAACCAAACGTTTCCTGTAGTTGCAAATCAGACCTGCACAACGATCTGGAGTCATTTTGGACCACTCCTCTTCACAAAACTGTTTCAGTGTAGCAATATTCTTGGGATGTCTGGTGTGAATCGCTCTCTTAAGGTAATGCCACAGCATTTCAATCGGGTTGAGGTCAGGACTCTGACTGGGCCACTCCAGAAGGCGTATTCTGTGCTGTTGCAGCCATTGTTTTTGTTGAATTACTTGTATGCTTTGGGTCATTGTCCTGTTGCATCACCCATCCTCTGCAAAGCTTCAGTTGGCGGACAGATGGTCGTACGTTTTCCTGCAAAATGTCTTGATAAACTCTGGAATTCATTTTCCCATCAATGACAACAATCTGTCCAGGCCCTGAGGCAGCAAAGCAGCCCCAAACCATGATGCTCCCTCCGCCATGTTTTACAGTGGGGATGAGGTTTTGATGTTGGTGTGCTGTGCCTTTTTTTCTCCATACATAGTGTTGTGTGTTCTTCCCAAACAACTCAATCTTGGTTTTATCTGTCCACAGTATATTTTGCCAGTAGTGCTGTGGAACATCCAGGTGCTCTTTTGCAAACTTCAAACGTGCTGCAATATTCTTTTTGGACAGCAATGGCTTCCTCCGTGGTGTCCTCCCATGTACTCCATTCTTGTTTAATGTTTTCCTTATTGTAGATGTGTCAACAAAAATGTTAGCATGTGCCAGAGATTTCTGTAGGTCTTTAGCTGACACTCTGGGATTCTTCTTTACCTCATGCAGCATTCTGCGCTCTGCTCTTGCAGTCATTTTTACAGGACGACCAAGCCTAGGGAGAGTAGCAACAGTGCTAAACTTTCTCCATTTGTAGACAGTCTATCTTACCGTGGACACATGAACATCAAGGCTTTTGGAGATACTTTTTTAACCCTTTCCAGCTTCATGCAAGTCAACAATTCTTGATCGTAGGTCTTCTGAGAGCTCTTTTCTGCGAGGCATGGTTCACATCAGACAGTGCTTCTTGAAACCAGTAAACCCAAAACAGGTGTGTGTTTTTTAAGGGCAGGACAGCTGTCAGCAACACATCCAATATTATCACACTGATTGGAGTCAAGGTTGGCTCACTCCTGGCTCCAATTGGGTCTGGGAGAAGTCATTAGGCTAGGGCCTCACATACTTTTTCCTCCCTGCACTGTGAATGTTTACATGTTATGTGCAATTAAACTATGGCAACATCTAATGTTTTTGTAGTATTATGTTCAGCAGACTGTGTTCTTCTATTGTTGTGACATAGATGACGTTCAGAGCACATTTTATACCCAATTCATGCAAAACTCCTCGTAATCCCAAGGGGTTCACATACTTTTTCTTGCAACTGTATATAAATCCTGTATAATAATAATAATGTCTTTGGTAAAACAAATCTCAATACGTGTATATTAATTGGTTTGTGCGAAAGTTATAGCGTCTACAAGCTATGGTATATACGTTTATTGGAATTTGGCTTTTACTTTCTGCCTGTCACATTTTCACATTTCTTGAGGTGCTAAAATGCCAGGGCAGTACAAACATTCCCCCCTCCCAAATGACCCCTTTTTGGAAAGTAGGCACCGCAAGGGTTTTGCAGAGAGGCATGTTGAGTCCATGGAACATTTTATTTATTGCTACAAATTTTTTGAATATACGTTTTTACACAAAGTTGTCACTTTAATGATATATTGCTCGTGCATGCCATGGGTATATGTGGAATAACACCCCAAAACACATTCTACTTCTCCCGAGTATGGGGATACCACATGTGAGAGACTTTTTGGCAGCCTAGCTACATAAAAGCCCCCAAAATCCAATGACCACCTCCAGGCTTTCAAAGGGCATATTTCCTCATATCACTTCCCCACTACCTATCACAGTTTCGGAGGCTCTAGAACACCAGTATAGTACAACCCCCCACCAAATGACCCCTTTTTGGAAAGTAGACACCCCAAGGAATTTGATAAGAGGCATGGTGAGTATTTTACAGATATATTTTTTTGTCACAGGGTTTTGAAAAAGAAAAGAAAAATTAATTTTTTTTTTCTTTCTTCATTTTCCAAAAGCATGTGGCAACAAATTAGATCTGCAAAACACTCTACTTTCCAAAAAGGGGTTGCTTCTACTATCCTGGCATTTCAGGGCCACATTAGATGCTTATGCCACACATCACCCACTCTTGAAGACCAAGCCTTTTCTGACACCTGTTGTTCACATGAAAAGGAGCAATCCTTTCACAACTTCAGGGGCTCAAAAATTTACGGCGTGGGGGACCGCAAATTACTGGCCATTAAAGCTGCATTGGAAGAGTGGTGCTAACTCTTGGAAGGCGCTGCTCACCCCATCATGGTTTTTACTGATCATAAGAACTTGGAATATCTTCGAACCGCAAAACAGTTAAGACCAAGACAAGCTCGATGGGCCTTATTCTTTTCAAGGTTCAATTTTCATCTAACATACCGTCCAGGGTCTAAAAATGAAAAAGCAGATGCCCTGTCCCGTATGTTGCCAGACACTCCTCAAACAGCTGCTCCCAGTAATATTTTATCTCCACATAATTTTCTACTCATTCAGCCTGATCTAAAAGCAGCAATTAAACAAGCTTCACTTTCAGAGGTCTGAGAGGTTATCCGTAAGGAAGCATGGGGATTTAGTCTGGCATGAGGACAAGATCTTCGTTCCCCAAGAAGTCAAGCCACAAATATTTAAGATATGTCACGACCACTTGCTTGCAAGTCACTTCGGGGTACGGAAAACAACTGAACTTGTCCAAAGATCCTTTTGGTGGCCCAAACTGAGACAGGACTGTAAAGAGTATGTTAACTTGCTTGCTGAGACCTATGCCAGTTCTTGAACAGCCTTGGAAGATGATTTTCTATGGACTTTATCGTGGACTTTCCTCCCTCTGAGGGATTCACCACCATCCTGGTGGAAGAGGATAGACTGTCCATAATGGCTCACTTCCTGCCCATGGTAGGTACTCCTTTCGCTACTGAAACTGCTCAAACATTTATTAAGGAGATAGTAAGACTACACGGGATACCCAACAATATAGTTTCTGACAGGGGGGTACAATTTACATCCAAATTTTGGAGATCTTTGTGCAAAACCCTGAATATCGATGTATGTCTCTCTTCTGCTTATCATCCACAGAGTAATGGGTAAATGGAGAGGACTAACCAAACTTTGAAGCAATACCCAAGGTGCTTCTCCACCTTCTCTCAGGATAACTGGGCATCTCTTCTTCCCTGTGCAGAATTCGCCTATAACAACTTTGTCCATGCTTCCACCAACCAGTCTCCTTTCTGGGAAAATTACAGTTTTCACCCTTCCTTCGTTCCGGATGCCATTCTAGAAGCATCAGTACCTGACGTCCAGGATAGGTTAACTTTCATACAATCCAATTACCAGATACTCCAGAGGACCATGCAAAAAGCTCAGGAGGATTATAAGAAGCAGTTTGATAAAAGGAGGAGAGGTAACCCTGGGAGGAAGGTGGGAGACAGTGTGGCTTGCTACAACCAATCTCAAACTTGCTTGCCCTTCACGAAAACTAGGTCCCAGGTTCATTGGACCCTTTAAAATCAAAAGGGAGATTAACCCTGTGGCCTTTTAACTGGACTTACCCGACTCTTATAAGATTCACCCGGTCTTGCATGTTTCTCTACTCAAACCAGTCGTAATGGAAGAGAGGAACTGCCCCCACCTCCAGTCACGGTTGGGGAAGACATTGAGTTTGAAGTTGAAACCATGGATGGAAAAGGGGGAGACAGATTCAATATCTGATTAAATGGAAAGGGCATGCACCGGAGGATAGTTCCTGGGAACCAGCAAGAAATGTGCATGCTCCTAAGTTGCTTCAAGAATTTTTTAACAGATTCCCTGAAAAACGAGCCACCTGGGCATCCAAAGGCTGCCCCTTGGGGGAGGGTACTGTCAGAGGAAAAGACGAGGAAGCCCGGGCAAATGCGCCAATGCGCAATATGGCCATGCTAATTTGTGCAAAGAAGTGCGCATGCACATAGGCGGGTGACACGTAATCATGCATTCCTGTGCACAAAACACA